TGGAGATCTGTTGTACAACAATGTGCATATGCTTAGCGCTACTAAACTGTACACTTAAAAATGGTGAAGATGGTAAATTTTGTTAATTTTTTTACCATAATTAAATTTTTTTCAATAAAAGGAAAAGGTTAGCCCAACTCTTTCCTTTTATAGAGGAGAAAACTGAGGTCCTAAGAACTTATAGAAACTTAGTGAACTCATGTGGATTCTAGTTACTAAGATTTTTCTCAAGTGCTCACAAATGAGCACTTACTGTGGTTAAAACATTGTGTACTGTGGTTAAAACATTTGCTGAAGAGGGGCACCTGGGTGGCTCAGTCGGTTAAGCATCTGCCTTTGGCTCAGGACATGATCCTGGGGTCCTGGGATTGAACCCCACATTGGGCTCCCTGCTCAGCAGAGAGCCTGCTTCTCCCTCTCCCCCTGCTGCTTTGCCTGTTGTTTTCTCTCTCTCTCTCTCTCTCTGTCAAATAAATAAATAAAATCTTAAAACACAATATTTGCTGAAGAGAAGAATTTTAATCACTATATATGGCCAGAGTCTTTTTAAGAATTAATTTGAGAATACATAATACAGGTCATCTTCTTGATGTTTCCATCATTGAATTGAGAGACCTAATGGTGGACCTAGCATGCCAACTGAAGACCTAGTTAACACCTTTTCTCCTTTGGCTTCCAGGCATGTGTTTAAATGTCACTGGTGCGGGCTCCTAGCTGCTACAGACCCAGTTACTTTGTAATTCTCGAATAATAGATGATAGCAATTCCTACTTGTTTTCTATGGTTCTTATTTCTTTTCAGACAAAATTATAATTTAACATTTATTTATTTATGTATTTATTTTGGGGATTCTAAGGTTCTATAAGATTTCTTCCCCACCTTTGCCATATTGAAGATCTAGGGATTTTTTTGTTTTAACTCAAAGTAATATCCCAGATGATGTTTCACTTTATGAAAGTGCCTCTTGAATAAGAAATCATGTTTACCTTGTTTTAAGCCCTAGGATAAGAAAGGAGTATTTTCTCCATTATATTTAATTACTAATCAAAGTATTGAATATCTTTGTAAAAATAAAATAGGAATGTCAGATGTGAACTGTGATACCAAATTGTTGATTTTTAAAAGGAAATTAATCATGTGATCCAGACTAAATAGTTGGTTTCAAAAATCCCAAGTATTTAACTTGATGTAACTAATACGTGCATTTAAATTCTAAACAGTTATTTCGAAGTATTAGAAATCTTCACCATTCTAATTTTCCACCAGGTTTCTTTGTAATGCACTGAGGGTGTCCATTACCCTTTAAAGTGAATAGTAAGAATAGTGTCCATTGTTCTAATGTGATTCTGTTTAATAGTGTAATCCCCACCAGATATTAGCCCTCATTAAAGGGAGCCTTGGAATCTTAAGGAGAATGATGAAGAACAATTCCATACAGTATTTTAATTTTTATTAGTTATATAATTTTGAAAGCATAGAAGCCCTGAAGGCAGACAGGCTTGCATTCCAACCCAGACTCCACCACTTTCTGCCTTTGTCAAATTATTTGTTCTGTCTTAGTCTTAATTCGTCTACATGTAAAATTGAGATGACACCAAGTACATGGTTAAAGTGCTGAATAAAAATGCAAGGCTGTTAAAAAGAGGTTGAGCAAATGTTAGTTTTCTAATTTTCCATGAGTAAGGTTAGTTGTTCTCTGGAATGTTTTTAATGTGAAGTTTTTTGAGCCAGACTGACTCCCTTCTGGCCTAATGCGGAGAGAGGTGTGTGGGGAAGTGAGTGTGGTGTATCACAGGTTGACAATAGGCTGAAATTCGTTTTCAGTCACTTCCAACATGGCCACGTATTGTTCTGCTTGATTATTTCTCTTGGCAAGAAGACTCTCTGGGCTCGTTTGCATATCCTCAGTGTAATCAGAAAGAGCCAAGTTTGCCCGTGTTTAAAGGATTTGGCTTCTTGAAGTTTGTTCTCGTGCATACCCACAGGGGGATTTGTCCCAGACCTCCCGTTTACAATCACAGGCATTCCGTGAATAATCTGATATGGAATGAGTACAGAATAGACTCTTTTGTTTGCCAGACAGGTGAGAGCCCTACTTTCTCTTGTTGCTAAAAATCTGGGCCAGAAAAATGACTAGCGTTACGTGAGTACTAAATTAACCTCATTCCTTTGTAATCGTTACCCTCATAATGATTTCACTGAAAATCCAAGAATAACAAGAGGGATTCCCCCCTACCCCCGGCCTGGCACACCCTAGGGTACTGAGAAATTTGAAAGTGTTTTTATAATGTTAATAATCATAGCATCCAACAACTGTGTGGCAGTTTTCAATTTTCTTAAGTTTTGTCAGGAACATTATCTCTCACACGAACCACATAAGATTGGTAGAGCAATTATTCCTCTTAAGTAAATGAGGTGATGGGGGTCAGAGAGGTTGTTTCCTGCTTGAGGTTATTTAGAATGCCTTGCCCAAAAGTTTTATCTCTGAATCCTTTTCTACTCTAAGGGTAAGGGCTAAACATCGAGTGACTGAGTTGTAATAGGTACTAGAGTAGATACCTCCTACGGTTCCTTCATTTACTGTTTGAAACAACCCTATGAAATAGGTATTACTCTTCTCATTTTGCAGATGGATTTGCTCAGAGAGGCTAAGTGCTTACTGAAGGTTGCACAGATGATGACAAAGGCAGTCTTCACAGGTTTCTGACTCTAAGACTCACCATTCCTTTATTCTGCTATATCATCTCTAACGTGTCTACATAGATAGACAGATAGATCTTAGATAGACAGATGATCACATCTGGATCTACTATATTCCTGATATAGAAGATCAATCTATCTGCTAGGTGCTGTGGTAAGCACTTTTCCGTGTGATTTCTTTCTTTCTGTCCATCCACCCATACACATGCAGACACAGTCATTACAAAAGGACCTGAGAACAGTCCCTAGGATGAGAACCACTAGAATGGCCTCCAGAGACGCCTGGGTTATGTGTCACCTGCCACTGTATAAAATGGGGAGTACAAAAGTAACATGTCCGGCAAAGCTTCTATGTCCTTCCCCACTGTTCAGACCTCCCTCATCCTTCCTACCTTTGAGAAACACAAGAAGTCCTACCACGAGAAAAGGGGTGCCAAACAGCACCATTCTCAAATTCCTGGCGGTGGAGTGGAGGGTCTAGGGCAGGAGATATGAAGCCAGACCAACAGGGGAGAAGTCCCAGCTTTAGAATTACTAGCTGCATATCCTGGAGCAGGTTACTTAACTACTCTGTCCCCTCAGCTTCATCACCTGTAAAAATGGACATAAGGATGGCACCTGCCTCACATGGGGTTGGTTGTGAGGATAAAATGAATGAGTTAATGAAAAGCACTTCCAACAGTACCTGGCCCGTATTAATAATAATAGCTAACATCATTTTGTTCTAGAAAACACTCAGTAAATATTAAAACCGTTATTTTTAGTATACACAATAAGTAAATTTTACTCCTCCCCACGCCTCTCTGAAGGTTAACCCACAGCACGGCCCCAACACCCGGGTCTTGGTGCCTGTCTGTTTATGCAGGGAGAAGGCAGTGTGATTTAGTTACTGCTATATCTCACTGAACAACAGGTTCCCAAGGTAACTGTGTGCAAGAACAAACTCTGGATAGTATATTCTAACTTATATGTACTAAGGAAGCTCACAATTTAGAGGGACTTTCTGGGTCTCTTGACTATAGTCCTTCTTCCCCTGTTGCATTTCCAACAACATATTGTAATTATCTTTTCTCTGTTCTCCTTCCCCAACCATGAGCTCCTGAAAGGCAAAGGACATACCGTATTTAACTTTATATTCCCAATATCTAGAATGATGTTTGGCAGTAGTAGTTTGTGTTTACTGACTTACTGAACAAGTGAGGGGATGAGTAAATGGATGCATGGTTAATTCTAGGTTAAGTAAATAATCATCTCCAAATTTGGGGTCAATCTGGATTTTCACACTTTGGATTTTCTTCAAGCAAGATAGTTGATAAGTTTATTGGTGATCAGGGCCTGTATTATGTAACCCCTCTAATTATTGCCCATAATTCCTGTGTTTGTTTTGTCAGTCAAATAATTTATTATCTTATGCCCAAAATATTTAAAGGTCAGACTCAAATCGATTTTTAAAAAGTATGCCTTGTGTCCTTCTATATATACTATATTCTCTTCCAAGCAGTGGTAGAGTAGATATATAAGATTTCAACAATACACTTCAGAGTGTTAGCATTCATAATTACTGGGCTCATATGAAATCATTTAAGAAGAATTCTGGGGTTTCAAAAGGTGTCACGTTATTCAGTGATGCTGTGCTGGAGGGAACTGTAGACACCATCCAAAATAGATACTTCATTTGTGCAGACAAGAAGAAGTGAGGTCCCAAGAGGTGAATGGTTTGTTCAAGGTCACACAGTTCATCAGGAACTGAGTCAGGTCCCCCATATTCTGGGGCCAGTGGCTTTATGGACCCTGGGACCAGGATTCCTGAGTGACATTGATTCTGGAAGATGCAGGACTGGCCCTGTAAGTCCAAACCAGCCAAGACAAGGGCATGATTTCTGGAAGAACACATTGTAGTGGTTGATCTGGGCTAGCAGCCAATGGAAGAAGAACCCTGTGGTCCACATGAATGCTCTTGGGTATATACAGTCCATGCACATGACATTTAACTTTGAAGGTGTCAGAGAAATGCAGGTCTGCTGCTAAAGAGAGGCAACATCAGAGGGGGACCCACACACATGCAAAGGCTTCACAATGTCCCTCTGCAATTTTTAAGCACTTGAACTTTAAACTTTTAGACTTCAATAAATTATGTTGAAGGTTTGATAGAAACAAATTGTAATAAGCAGTGGTTCCTTTTCTCTCCAGTGAATTTTTGTGTATAGAAGAATAGGAGGTCATTTTCAACTATGCGATGCAATATTATACATGTTATTTGAACTAGTGTGACTTTTGCTCTTTTTAATTTCTGTGCCCAGATTCGAAGGATTCCAAGGAGAAGAATAAAATGGAAATCTTGTACATACTCGTGCCAAGTGTTGCCATTCCTCTGGCCATTGCCCTGCTCTTCTTCTTCATTTGTGTCTGCCGCAATAACCAGAAGACCTCGTCACCGCCTGTCCAGAGGCAACCGAAACACGTCAGAGGTCAAAATGTGGAGATGTCAATGCTGAATGCATATAAACCCAAGGTAAAGTTAGCAGTACGGAGCTGCATAGATTCCGCAGCCTTCGGGTTAAAGCCAAACTTAGCACCTTCCCCAGCTTAGAAATCAAATGATCTAGACTCAGAGTTTACAAGCTCTAGAGGTCAATTTCAGCATAACTGTACACCTCTAACTTTATCCAAGGCACCTGGAACATTCTTTCATCAGTATGTCCACGTCCGTGTCGGGCCAGCCCCATCACTGCCTTACCATCGAGTCTGGGCTAGAAAGAATCCTTAGGACATCATCTCTCCTAAGGATTCCGAGGGGAGCTATTTTGCAAAATTTCAAAGAAGGAAAGACCATACCCTTCCAATCAAACTGAAAGAGATGAACAGAGAAAAAAAGAAAACATGGTTTACTAACTTTTAACTGTCAAAAAATCCTTTATGTTGCACAACAGTGTGCATAGATTGCACACTTAAGAACAGTAAGTTTTATGTGATGTGCTTTTTTTCCACAAGAACAAAACCTAAGGCCTAACCTAGGAGCTCAGTTAGGTTTAATGCCTAACCTCAATCCATTTCTCTTTGGTTTAAGCATTTTTAAAGAGAAGTGTTGTCCTTCCTATAATCTTCAGATTCTGTTGCATGATCGCCCATCTTAGCCTTCTCATCTCTGTGCTAAATCAGCCCACTTCCTTTTAGTTTTTCCTCCTCATCTTTCAACACGTGGGTTGCTCCAGGTCTTGGCAAGGAACCCAGGGTCACCGGCCCTTACCTTAAATGGAACACACACACCACATCTTGAAGCTGAAATACAACAGAGCCTTTCTCTTCAGAAAGCCAGAACCTCAGTCCCAGGCTCTCGGCAGAGAGATTTCATTTAAATAATTTAGAGGACATCCAAAAAGCCTGTCTTTTCTTCTTATTCCAACTCCATAGGACATTCATTCACTCATCTACAAATATTTATCTTCTCTGTGGGTTAGTGACCATATTATTCATTTGACCCTCATAAAGAGAAGATGCATCTCTTTAATAAAATTTTAGAGAAAAATGTCTTCACACTCAAATTAACTAATCCTTTTAACTAATTAGTAGAGTTCCCTGTTGGGGCTGACTCTTAGCCCCTCATTTGATTTTAGTCTGTGTTGCGGTTGGATTTTTTTTTTTTTAATTTAAAAAAGTCTTAAGACATTTTTCTGTTGTAGTCATATTTGTTGGTAAGGTTTTTGGATTTCTTAAGTGTTAAAAATTCATTTGTTTAAGTATTCTGTCCCAAGCAAAACCACAGTTCTCTTAAGTGTGAATTTTTACCATTAAAAAAAAACCCCACAGACCCTGAAGACAACAGCGTTCACTAATTAGGTGGGTGGACAGATCGCAGTGGGGGTTCAGTTGTTTCTGACATCCTAGCTGCCAGCTACGCAGCTTACGTCCCTTACAGCATGTTAGAGGACATCACATCTAATCCTTACAAGGGAGTGGAAGAAAAAAGAGGGGCTAATAAGGTAACACCCAGTTGAAATTTTACAATTCCCAGGCTTCGGAGTTCTAGTGCAATGGTCTTTTTCCATGAGCATCTTTCTCCGTTATTTCTGTTATGTTGAGAAATCTTAGGGGCGCCTGGGTGGCTCAGTTGGTTAAGCGACTGCCTTCGGCTCAGGTCATGATCCTGGAGTCCCGGGATCGAGTCCCGCATCGGGCTCCCTGCTCGGCAGGGAGTCTGCTTCTCCCTCTGACCCTATCCCCTCTGATGTGCGCTCTCTCTCTCTCTCATTCTCTCTCTCTCAAATAAATAAATAAAATCTTTAAAAAAAAAAAAATCTTAGAAATGCCAGAACTCTGGACAGGAGAGAGACCCAGATCATCTGGCTTACGGCAGTCGCCTTGCCCCTGCCACCATCCCGGAGAGGCGGGCTCCTCCAGGCTGCGGCAGGAACCACAGGAAGAGTACTTTCCACTGGGGAAAACTGTCAATTGTGTAGGTCAGCCTCAGTCTGCAACTCAATTCCATTATTAGCAGAGGTTTGTTTTGCAAAGCATGATGTCCAAGAGGCATAATGTTTTGGGTTTATGCAGTCTTTCAAATAAAGATCTCAGAGAGCTTTGTGGCATAAACGGAGAAAGCTAATGTGTGTTGAGGGATACAAATTGCCAGGAACTATACCAGGAGATTTATACTCATCATCTCATTTAATCCTTGCAGCTATTCTATAATATAGATGTGATTATTGCCACCATACAACTGGGGTAACTGAGGCTTGTACAGATTAAGTAATTTGTCCAAAATCAAAGAACTAGAGATTGGAAGAGATGAAATGTGAACATAGGATTTTTCATGACTAAATAAAGTCCTTGTACTCGCCTGACCCCATAATAACTTTTTCACAGAACAAATCATGCTGGGAAGGGAGAGTGGGAGGGGGTCAGGCAAACAACTGAATATGATTCCATTTGGTTAGTTTGGGCTGAACACTAACCACAGGCATCACCCTGCCTTGTGATAAATTCTTAAGAGCCTTGTGTGACAGTCACACGTCTAAATGATATCGCTCCAGTCCTGCCAAAGACATGTGAAATTTGGCCAGAGCAGTAATAGTCCTCTATCCTCGATGGTCATAGAGACAAATGTAAAATATACTGGGACAAATTTTCCCAAAGACTTGGTGAAATAAGCATGGTTTTCATCATTTCTGAAGTGTCCCTTGCAAAATCTCCCAGTGCCAAGATTTCTCCAACCCAATGCTTAAAATTCAGCCTTAAACAGCTCTCAAATAATTCTGAACCACACTGTAGGTCGGAATGGCTTGACTATCTTTGACGGGGTTGAGGAGGGGAAAAGAAACAACAAAAACAAATGCTCGCCCTTTTTCTCTTACTCTCTTAAGAGATTTGGCTCCAATCAAATTTGAGTTATTCTGTTGTTTGTTTTGGTTCTTACTGAGTGCCTTTCCTGGAAAAAGCACAAAGGACTTCGTAGACCTTAAAGAAAATTCTTAACTGTAAACAATCACTCTCTAAAAGTGCTTTGAAAGGTCACTGACCCATAAATATTACATGTACCTATAAAAGTTAGAAGGAAAGAACACACATAAGAAAGAAAGAGAAAAAAAAAAAATCCTGAAAACAAACACCCTACCAGCATAAAATCGAAAGGATATTTGGAGGCCGAGGTGTTAAAGAAGAAAGCATGGAAGCTGGTATGCCCGAGTCTTATTCTGATTTTTCCTTGGTCAATTCAAAAGTCAGAGGCTCCAGGATTTTTATTGATCCAAATGAATATGCCCCTCAGGTTTTAAACTGTTTCTCTCTCTCTCTACTTGCTGAGCTTCTAAAATCCCCTGCAAGTGTTGGGATTAAGAAGAGGCTCCTCAGGGAGATTAGAAACCCATACCCTTCAGAGGGGGCAGTAGCAGTCATGAACAGACTGGTGGACAGACCTGGCCTGGGTGTCCAGAGAGGTGGGTGAGGCAGTTGGAGGTTAGACTCGATGAGGTTTGAGTTTCCCGCTGCTCCGTGGGGAAAGGAAGTCAGTGGGCCAGAGAGGCACCTCAGCGCTGAGCCACGGAGACGCTCCTCTGGCTCTAACTGCAGCCCCCTGTCGGTCCCCCTTGCCCCGTGGCCCTGAAAAGCCACTTGGCCTCTCTGAGTCTTACTTTTCTCAGTTGTTCAGAGAATGAAGGAGACCCTGTTCATATAAGGTACTGTTCATTTGTTTTCCTTTTATTTTGTTCAGCAGGAGATTTCAAGCCATTCAGTTAGATAAGATAACCTCCTCTCTTTCCCGCCTTTAAAATCCGCTGATGAGTATTCTAGCAAGGCGTGAACTAAGTAGGATTTTTCTAGATCGCATTACAAGTTTTATCATCCGAGTGGATGTTATTTAAGAGTACTGTGGAAAGTGAACCTTCTCCAAGAAGCCTGGGAAACCCTAACTTCCCTTCGCCTGGATTCTTTTCCTTTGCCCCCCACCCCCCAGTTGTCCTGTGTCTGAAAAACAGGGCAGTGTCTGTACAGAGAAAATGCTGTGGAGCACTTTCCTTGGGGAGTGAGAAAGGGTCAGAGCCTCCCACTCAAGCACAGCAGAGGGGTGGGGGCTTTTGTCCTTCCCTCTGTGACTCACCTATGTGGGACGTGGGCACCAGAGAAGTTAAGAGGTGGAGGAGCTTGAGAATGGGGAGCAAAGAACAGTTGGGGAGGTTGGGGAGGGCACAGCCAAAGCCTGAATAGGACTGTGGGTCAGACTCCTGCAAGCTCTGGGCTGGTATAAGGAACATCTGGGGGAAGGCAGGATTTGCCTCACGTTCTGAAGCTGGTGACTCTATTTTATTTCTCAGTTTACCCTCATCTCTTGCCAACTTCTCTGTTTCTTCACTTCCAGGCAGTTCCTCTCTCCTTTTCCTTTCCAGCCAAAGTAGTTGCTGAAGGTACTGACACTTGATTATCCTCTCTGGGCCTGTCCCCTTTGCCAGCAACATGCTTCCATCTAAAAAGCCCTGCTGTGGTCTGGCTACCCCTTTTGAACCCCTGGCCTTACCCAGTGTCACCACACTTGGTGCTAAAATGTCCTCAATAGCTTTTCCACTCAGTCCTTAGAGCCTTTGTCTCCCCAGACTTCGGAGCTCATCATTCTATTGACAGGGCCCTCTAGGGAATCACCAGTGATGTAATTCAATCCAATGGCCTTTTCCAAGACTTTATCCTCTTTAATTTCCCTGGAGCCTTGGATATTCTGAACCACCATCTTGAAACACTTTTTCTCTAGGCTTTCCTCCTATCTCCTCTGTTTCCTTCACTAGTTCCTTCGGTTCCTCCTTTCCCCTCCCCCTCCTCCCCCTCTCCTCTCCCTCTCTCTCCCCCTCCTCCCCCCTCCTCCCTCTCTCTCCCCCTCCTCCCCCTCTCCTCTCCCTCTCTCTCCCCCTCCTCCCCC